AGAAACTAACGACTGTTTTCCGGTCGGTTTCCGTAAAAATACCCTTCAGTGACCAACCAGCAGCAAGCCCCAGCGTGCAAAGGCATTATAAAAAATAACTTAACAAATACATGGTGTCAGAAGAAGCTTTACTATTGCATAGCGTCACACAGCTGCACCACTATTGCTCTGAGTCACTACCTATATAGTTGTCCCACTCCTGCCCTGTGCCACTAGTGCCTAAGCAGAAGTAGGTGAGTGACTCATACTAATGCAGGAGCGCCTGAATTAAGCCCAGTTATGAAGAACTGTTCAAGTCAGGACAACGCGCGTGCGTCATGCGGCGTCCGGTAGTGTGCTGGAATAGCTGCGGAGTAAGAGGCAGCTCTGCCATGCCGGCTTCTTGGAACATTGATAGAAAAATATGAATGAGTCTACGTGAATGAAGAAGGGGAGGTCGGAGAATGAATGTCTGAATGATGAATGAGTCCACGTGAATGGAGTGTGGGGGATGGAAAATGAATGTCTGCATGATGAATGAGTTCAAGTGAGTGGAGTGCGGGGGATGGAAAATGAATGTCTACATGATGAAGGAGTCTACGTGAATGGAGTGCGAGGACTCGGGAAAATGAATGTTTGAATAATAAATGAGTCTACGTGAATGAAGTTCAGAGTTGTAAAATGAATGTCTGAATGATGAATGGGGTGCGGACTCGGAAAATTAGTGTATGCATGATGAAGGAGTATACGTAAATGGAGTGCGAGGACTATATAGGAAAATGACTGTCTGAATACATTTGGGAGCAATTTTGAAGATCATTCACATGCTTGGTCGGTCATGTTTTTTTTGTGCTGTGGGTTAGCCTGTTGTTTTTAATGTAATCAAAATAGAGACGACCTAGATATGGCCAGATAATGTAGCCTGGCGTTTTCTACAAAGTAACAATACGACGATCGAGAGTTCAAAACCGAAACAAATGTTAGAGGTTAATTTTGCCTTAGGAAGTGTATATTCTTTGCTGACAACGGCAAAGTCTGCTTCTTAAGAATGTGTAGTCGAGAAACTGCTTGACCAAGTACACAAAGGTACGCTTCCGACCCCAACAAGCAAAGGCATATAATCCAACACGGTCATAAATGCACAACGAGGTGTTAAATAGCTTATACACGATCAGCATTTCCTGCCTTTATGCTCGCGCAATACCTGCGAGAGCCTCACTGGAAAACGAATGCAGTCAATTAGAAGCAGTTTTGTGTAGTGCAATATTATGATTTCTCTAACAATCGTTATTTCTACGGATATGGAACCCCTGTACGATAAAAACCATCAACATTACGAAAAGAATATTAGGTTGATTACCATTGACAACGATGGAAAAAATACCAAATGAAACACAGGAAGCCATATGGATGAGTAATCAAAACTCGAGCGCCTCGCAAGAAATGCTCAAGAAAAAGGAGCTCGCAGCTTATGCCTAGCAGAAGGTCTTCCGCGTACCGCGAGGCCTGATCGACGGTCGCCCGAGGGTTGGCCGAGCCTGCCAAGGTCGGAAAGTGGCCGCCCGACAAACTCGCGTCCTCTTCACGACCTTTGCGTCAATTCATATGAACAATATGATAAGTCCAAGTAAAAATGGACTTCTCGGTGCGTAAATAGGTTCCAATAAGGAGTGTAAATGTGCTCGTTTGTGAGTAAATTGGCTCCTCGGTGTATAAATTGGCTCCTCGGTGCATAAATTGGCTCCTCGTTGTATAAATTGGCTCCTCGGAGCGTAAATGGGCTCTCGGCGCATTAATTGTCTCCTCGGAGCGTAAATGGGCTCCTAGTGTAAATTGGATTGTCGGTGCGTAATTGAGTAAATCCAGTGTCCTGCTTTGCTTTTCTAAATCTACCGCCATGTCGGAAGCGACTCTAATGGTTGTCGCTCAGTATACGATATATAAAATATAAATTCCAACCAATTGATCACGTAGTTCGCACAAAAAAGGTTGCTCTTACCTTTGTGTCAAAATGCATGCTACCTTCTTGGGCCTAAAATAGTATTTTAGGCAAAATAATTCTGAGATTATATGCACTTTAATGTACAAATTGCGCTCCAATGCGAGAGGGAAGCGGAAAAACTGTCAATTTATAATGTTAATTGTCTCACAAGTAAGACAATGCTAGTTCGGCTGCAGTTAGGGTTAGACTTTCAAAGGGCAAATAATAACACGTTTTCCGTTTTTTTTTGGAGGAATCTGCATGCAACAATGTTCAGTATTGAAAGTTCCCAAATATAGCACATGCTATTAAAAATTTCTAAGCAATAGCACGGAATTGCAAGTTGAATTCAAAAGGCATTCCTTTCTTCGTCCACGAACTTCAGATCTTCAAGTCCCTACAACAATGTACACGCCACACCAATGCATTGTACAGTTCGGTATAACTCATGCGTTCAAATACTCGGAACTGATTGCGACATCGGATCCTCATGATCCAATCACCATTCACAAGTCACATACTTGGAAGTTGTTACCGCAATCATTGCTACAACAAAAGTCATATATACATCCAAATAGTGCGCCAGTGATAGTCATGTTTTGTATGAATCATGAATGACAGAAAGATAAATTACATCCATACATTTTTTAATGTGCTAAGAATACTGTCAATTGCGGACGTTGACCTTGATTTACGATCGTTGTAGAACTTACGACCGCCACACGAATTTTATATGGCCCAGTCCCTGAACTACAGGCATGCACATAATAGGCGGAGCTCGACATTTGAAAACCCTTCCCGGTAAGGTCAAGAACAGTATTCTCTTGCCTTTGAATTGTGAAGTCAAGACACATAAATACAGGACATAACAACATGGTGCTAGCAGGAGACACCCATGGTGGCAAATAACAGTTTTTTTTCTTCGCCTGATTTTCAATTGACTACGGTGCTCCGAGATTCTTCGAATTAAGTATGTATATGACTATATGACAATCTAAGTCTCAACAATACCTGACTCATGCATTCTTGGAAGCCCAACTGATTCAAATAAAATAAAAAACGTTGTTGCATAACTTTGAAAAAAAAAAACAATCGTTTACCGCTAAGACGCCTACATTGCGCATATTGACTCCATCGGCGATTCAACAGTGAAAATTGCCAAATTATAGAGTGAATGTTTTTTTTATTAGATATAACGCAATGCAATGGCATTTACGGAATTAATCAGTATTCGACATCCAGCTTTGATTGAGGTCAAGGAACCAATACTGTCCACCGAAATTGTATTATGTGAGCCGTACGTGAAGGTCAATCCTATTAGTAAGATCGCTGTTTAAGTAGAAAAAATTCACGTATTTATCTATATACCATATACTTTGCAATGTCTTTTCTTTGCTTGCTTTAGCGTGTTTGAAGCGTGTCACTAGGAACGCTAGAGAATTATCGAGTGCGTATTCGCAACACGTACCAACGTATAATAATCGCCCATATTAACTGCAGTTGAAACTTCTGAACCTGGACATTCCATGAGGTTGATCGATGCATGTGGCATTGCAGAATGTGTTTTGAGTTAGAAAATTAAAACTTAATTTGATAACAAAATTGCATTATTATACATATATTATTAATATTATTATTAAAAATTAACAAAAATTTACTCGCAGCTTCGCAACGAACGTTGATTGTGTGTTATATGTATATACATTTAAATTAACGATACTTCACCTCCAAATTTAAATGAATTAAGCACAGCTTAAAATAAGTAACAGGCTTCTAAAAGATCAAGATTTATCTAACCCAAGCAGACGCTCGGTTGCAGCGTTGGTCGTCTCATGCGAATAACTATAAATAACTAAAATATATTTCAGTGCATTCAATATCAATATTTTTATCCGAAATATTTTTGTGTTTGATTTTTCGTCTGTTTGAGTCCTACAGGTCAATGCGTCGACATGACCGAACTCGCACGAGCATGTCTAATGACAAGCATCCAAGCAGCGAATGCGTATGTCGATGTTGCAGTAGCAACCTTACTGCAACACGCAGTAGCAACCTTACTGCAACACGCAGTAGCAACCTTACTGCAACGCGCAGTAGCAACCTTACTGCAACGCTCGGAAATCCTTATAATTCTTCAAAATTGCTATACTCATAGCCAGGAGGTGCATTATCAAATATTTCTTCTTTGATCGTTTGATCGTATGTATGGAAGATCTTACGATAATTGATCGTAAGACCTTATACGTACGATTATAGGTCTTACTATCGTTAATCGTAAATAATATCGTTATTCTCGCGATTGAGTACATATTCTAATTCAGTCTCAGCCAGCATCATTATTGGTGCATTCATGTATGACGTCAGAGTTTGTTTGCAGAGTGTAAGGTTCAAGTGGAAACCGAGGACGATTTCCCTCACTTGACACAGAACTGTGCGCTTGATTTACATGACACTGTGAATTTAGGAGAGATCAGAAGGCAGTAACACTTGTCTTGAGTCGCCACCTATCAATGAAATAACTTAGATGACTATAGGTCAACGATGTACTTTTTTGAGTTCAAGTAGTACAATTATTTGCGCAAAGTATCAATAGGGAATGAAATACCACTATATTTTTCAAATAATGACAATTAAGTCAATTGAATAAAGAATTAGGCAAACAAACAATTGACAGTTGAAATCTTGCCATGTTGACTTTTACTGACTGCACTAACTTGCGACTCGTAAGTAAAGACTTTATAATAATGAATGGAAATGCGATTTGTAGGGTTCGACAATATACTAATAACAGAGAAGCTTTTTCGATTCCGCTAGAAAGTAATTGTTCGACAGTTTTCTTTATGAAAGAGATCGTTTCTATTGCAGCCCAGCAACGTAAGTGGCATTGGCGTTAGTACTAATAAAACTTAACAATTTGAACATGAATAATGTTTCAACATCTATTCATTGACTTGTAGTTAAACGACGCAGGACTAAGCCCATTTCATGCATTTATGTAGCACAAGTTCGGATGTGGGTTTTTTAAATGTTGACGACTTACCGGCAATTTTGTGCGGATCACTCAGGACGAATATGAACCACAACGACAGTAATTTATCTGCAGACAAAGATTGCAAGAGTGCACTGTCTATTTTAGCGAGATCAGGTACGACGACATCATTTGTAGATGAGTTCAATTCGTTTGCAGTTCCTAACGCAACTACCAACGAAACCAACAGCACAAGTCGTCCCGATTGCACCATCTTGACCGACTGCTACCCTGCCCTTGCAACGTCCGAGGTGAGACTAACTCTTGCAAGTCGACCACCCTGTATTTATAGCTAGCGCTACAGGAATAAGCATCACTTTTCCGCTTGCATCAGAGCTAATTGAAGCGCTGATTATTGCCCAGTAATTAAGAAATTTTGTCCCTTTACACAATTTAGAAACAATAGGAGAGTAAAGTTTTTGAGATGTTTTAGGCTTTTAATATCACGTATTTTTAATATACAGATTTATCCGAAGGATATGGGCATCTGCAACAAAATTGGAGTTACGGAGTAATCCCACGAAGAAAATACGGCAAGAAGCAATTTTAATGTTACTTTATGAAGAAATTATTTAATGAATTACCGTGCACATGTTTTATCGCTCGACCTCTTACTTAATTTGGAACTGACACGCCTATTCATGTATAAATAATTAATTTCATAATTCTATTGCAAACTAGCGTAAACAACTCAAATTATATCCGAAAACATAACAATAACTCATTATACGTAAACAAGTTTTGTCAATTCTAACAATAATAGAAATCTCTTTCAGAGGTTGTGCAGAATCAATTTCATTGCAATGAACTAATAAGTAAAATAATTACTAAGTATTCTCACGAAACATAATCGGCATCTTCTCTGACTATACTGAAGGTTTTATTGCCGTTCTTCATGTAGAGTTTGTTGTCGCCCTGCCAGACAATGCAGTCGCCGTCCACCACCCCGTCATTCTCCATCTTGGCTGACTCGTCCTTTATCACGTACAGTAACTTCGTCTGAAAAATTATGTCAACTTTATGAACGGCAACTTCGTCTAGAAACTTACCAGTCAACTTTATGAACAGCAACTTCGTCTGGAAACTTACCAGCCAACTTAATGAACAGATTAAGGACTTATTCTATTTTACAATTGAGAGAGAATGCAATCATTCTTTCACCACGAATACAATTTCAGGTTCATTTAAGATCGCGACACGATAAGTATCTTGGATAAGCCCCCGAATAACCACGATGCATATTTTCGTGAATTCCCTGTGGAATGTTACTATACGATATAAATATGTAAATTTCTATGTAGATAATACTTTCCATCGCTTTGACAAATTTGTAAAAAAAATACAGCGTAAAAATTCTATCAAATCGCTTAAACCCGTCTTTGTAAGTGAAGCATGAAACCTTTGTTCTGTGTTAATAATTACGGGTTTAGATGAAACCACAATATAGGACAGTGGTAAATAGGAAGTCAGTCAGGCTCAGCCTGCCGTCGCTTTAGTTACTGAGGAAAATCAGCCGGGACTTCACTTTTCCGGGCACTTGCAATGAGTTCTAGACTGAACTGAATGCAGAACACCATGGTTGAACTGATATAAATTTACCCATGAGAAGCTCATTTTTGCGGATGTAGTTTCTACTAGTTTGTTATTCACCTGTGACGTCACTGATCTCAGTAACGTCACGGGCATTAACCAATCACCGAAATACGATCAAACCAGTCAACCCATGGTTGAACTAGTATGAGGTTGACCCACGAGATGCTCGTTTTTGCGGATGTAGTTTCTACTAGTTTGTTTTTCGCCTGTGACGTCACTGATCTCAGTGACGTCACGGGCGTCAACCAATCACCGAAATGCGATCAACCCATTCAACCAATCAGTCGTGAAAATGACGGGATTTTTTATGTTTCTCGATCTACGTGACGTAACAAGAAAGCTGAACTGAAAGACGGAAATTCTCGTGAGTCAACCTTATATAGTTCAACCATGAGTCAACCAATCCGTCATGGGAATGGCGGGATTGTTTACGTTTCTCGATCTCAGTGACGTAACAAGAAGCCTGCACTGAAAGACGTGAATCCTCGTGGGTCAACCTATAATATTTCAACCATGACAGAACACGAACTACTTCTACTGCTGTGTTCCGAAACATTTTCTGAGTACGGTAAAGGGGTTTTAGCATGCTGAAGTCTTCTCATAATAGTATCACATATTATATGATACTGTGATTGAATAGTAAAGCTGACTATTATTTACTCACAAGCTCTTGAATTTTCAAGGCAGTTTCCCTCCTGGCCCGGACGGTTGCGTCGGTCTCCGGTAACATGCCGATGGGAGGCTTGCCGGGGGTCTTGAGCGCCGTTGGGTCGCAGTCGCTCTTGAGCTGCTGCAGGAGAACTTTGATGCGGCTCCACTCCTTCCGCTGCGACTCAACCTTACTGAAGTTACACTACATGTTATATTATTGTATAGTTCATTTCACTTATAAAGCTACTTCTACTCAATTGTACCTAATTATATTACATGTCTTTATAAATAGTGGGACGAGGTATTACGAAGGTTTCAGTTTTTGAAAACATTATCAAAAAATGAAGTTTGTACAACCAAATTAAAGAATATCTATCAAAAAACAGTGTCGGAAGCATTTAATTGAAAATATGAGCGAAATATAGCAAAAAACTTGGTGGTGTATGCCACCTTCAGCACATATCTGCCTCAAGTTTTTCACAAGGAGGTGTGACACTTTTGTACACATAGTTTATTTGTTCTTTGTCATGTCAACTTAGGTTCATGCTATATAAAATATGTATCATATGTAATAAATATGCCAGAAAATAATGAATAATAATATTTTTTGCTGATAAATATATTATGAACATTTATATTATATATTCACAATGACCCAGAAAAATATTCCACATAAGAAGTTGAATTTTCATTTAATTTTTCTTCTAAATTTTATTTGATGTTTATATATTGACATCACAACGTAAGTAGTAATCATATCTTTTTGTTGCTGTTCAACACCATCACACCCGGACGGGAAGTGGGTAGGGGTAGGAAACCCGAACATCTTTTTACCAGTTTTCATTCTCTCGATGTCGCTTCGGTGATGTCTTATAAAAAAATTTCTTATAAAATGTTCTTAACTCCGACAGCGAATAACTTACGGCTTTTCAAGCAATCAGACAGCCTATTACGGACGAAAAATATGACGGTAAGTTTACTTAGGAAGCTATGTGCAGTTGAACCAAAGCGCCGTACTATCAAAAGTCGCTCAAGTACACGTAGCGGCTGCTCGCTAGTCTGTGATTGGTAGGTTTAGTTTGAGCAGCTTGTTCACTGACGGACAGATTGGCTGACGGGCCTATACAAACTTCTAATTTTATTGAAAGTATATATGGCCCCTGCTATAGAGTAACCTGAGCAAGGTTCCAGTGGTGGCCAAGATAGTGCGCAGTTCTCCCTCCAGCACCAGCAAGTTCTCTTTCTGCATGTCGGCCTTCTTCTCCATCTGTAAGGTCCGCTCGCGCAGCTTCACTGATTGACTTTCGTTCCACTGAAAGAACGTTGATCTTGTTTAATTTAAACTACTGCACATTAAAGTAACGAATGAAAATGCATTTGTTGCTGTAAAAAAAAAGTTTCATTCTGATGAAAGGTTATCCGTTCATAAAATCATAGCAATCCTTTGCATTAATTCTGATTTATTTGAGTACAGGCAGAATTAATAGACGATTATAATCTGTATTAAACACCATTTGGTGGATTTTCACCGTTATTCGAAGTTCATACGTTGCTGTAGGGTAGTCAGATAAAGGCCTTCTAAATATGTCTAGTCATAATGCAATGAGAGAAATCTTTATATTGCACTAGTAAGCCATCACTTGAACATGGTTAATTAAAGAACGAGCAAATGAAAGCTATAGAAGCCACGTGGTTGGAGAACGAACAAATGAGAACTATAAGAGTTACGAGGTAAGCGAACAAACAAATGAAAGCTATAAGAGTAACATGGTTAGAGAATAAACAATTGAAAGATATAAGAGAGTCTCTGTTAATAAACGAAATAAATTTTCGGCAGGGTGGCCCAGTGGTTAAATGTTCAGAGCAACAAAATTTTAGCAGTGAGTTGTGGGTTCGATCCCGGCAGCTAATTGAGAAAAGTTGTGGTCGAGACACAGTGGAATTGTTGAAGTGAGTTTCGTATTCGAGATCCGCAACAAGCTGTGAAAATTCTGCTGTGATTAAAATCGGTGGAATGCATGATTACTTAACCCTTTAGCGGGCAAGCATTGAAATATCCAGAAATTAAAATTTCAGAAACCATTTCAAGAAAGTAAGAAGTATTATACAATATATTTATTTATATGTATTTTTGCAAATTTTGCCTATTGAAGGTTTAAATCTAAATATCACTTGAAGAATTCAATAAATGCGATCAGTACACAAAATTTTTCTTTATAATTAAAATTCAGTTTATGCAAATGAAAAATTAGAAACATACAAATTTAATTTAATTAAATTTAATCAAGTTGCCAAAATAAATAAATATATATATTGATACTTCCAAATTTTGAAGAAAATGCTGAAAGAGCGTCAATTCCATTGTCCGAGTCAAAACCTTTATTCAAATGCTCATATTTCAATTTGTGGACTTTGCAGCTGGTGATGCCATAGATAGAATGATGGTCAGATAATTCAGATAATTAGTGATTGACTGAGGCGTTATAAGGATGCCTTAAAAACAAACAGGAAGCCTTGGTGAGGCTTTTTGTGACGCGATTTCAAGTGATCATATATAGTAACTTACCCGTGAAAGGGAATATTCTTCCACTCTAACTCCGCTCAAAATTAAAGCTATAAGAGTTTTATACTAACCTCTGCTAGTGGAATTCGTTCATGGTTGGTGCATTTATTGACGGTGGCGAGAGCGTGACACTCTTCACACCAGTCGCTTTTTATCGCATCAATTTTTTGTATATTTGAAGTCCTAACTTGGCGAGGGAAAACAGCAGGTGGTTCTGGCTTTAGTTCCGCTGGAATTTGTGGTTTGGCATTTTTCAGCCTTTCCAGGTCTTCCAAATGAGCAATTATGTACCTGCAAACCAAATACAAATTTGTAATTTATATCGATAGAATTCGAAGGCTTACTTAATTAATTTCACCCACATAACAACGGCAAAATGAATGTTCAAAAGCTTCACCTGTTTGTCTGAACATTGTTTGTGTTGATTTTTGCTCGGCATATTGGGCAGAAAAATTCGACGTTTTTCGGAATCTCCTTGACTAATCTTGAAGTTTGGGTTTTGACAACTGGCTTAGGGGAAGCTACAGAGGCCCCCAGGGATCTGAACACTCCGGGCCTTTCAAGAGGCGACGCCACGGTGTACTGTAAACAAAATAATATTATTTTACCCTGTTATTATCATTAGAAAACCCAAGTATCTTACATACATTTATGTAATTTAAAAACATATCAATCTGAACAATACCGCCTTTCTAGAGACGACCCCACGTTATACTACCAACAAATATTATAATTTTCTAATGTATAGTTGCTTAATAAAAAATCTACGGTAAAATAATTCATAAAGATTTCTCTTGCATACCATCTTGTGGTTTTAAAATTTATGTACTGCAACACCTTCATAAAAAAACACTGTAAACTACTTTATACAAAATTTATTGCATACTTTTACGTGGATTTAAAAACGTAAGTACTGTAATTTCCTTGATACAAAAAATCTTCAGTAAATTCCTGAATAAACAAGTATCTTGCATACTTGTATATATATATGTGAATTTAAAAACGTATGTACTACAATTTATTAATAAAAAAATCTACTGTATAAAGTCCTTCATAAATAAGAATTTTTAAACAGGGGTGATTAATGACCCGATAATTCATTGATTTAATTTTTCAAGGTCGAACAATATTCTTCAGATGACGTTGGTTGATCAAAATGCAGTTTTAAGGAAGTAATTTTAATTTATTAAGGACATTTTGATGCAACAACATTTAATTTCAAGTTATAGGAAGCATTGAATACATAATTTTTGGTGGAAATGAGTACATGATACACGTATGACGGGATGCTCATTTCGTGGTATATTTTTTTTACTTGTACGTTCTATTAATCCTGTGCTAGGTTAGTGACCAGTCAATTGTTGTAACATTTATTTTGTGACTGAAATAAGGAACTTAATTTAACATGATGTCGGCGCTGAAGATTAGGCCTGATGTGGCCTGTCGCCGATACTTACTTTTCGTGACTTGTTCACAGAAGATCTAAAATCTAAAACAGAAGATCTACTTTAGCATTTTCTGAACTTTGAGATTGTTTCAAAGTTATCTTCACGATTCCAAATTTTTGTGTTGTATCGTAGTTCTGTGCATCATGTGCTTATTTCCACCAAAATTCCTGTATTCAATGCTTCCTATAACTTGAAAATGTATGTTGTTGCATTCGAAACGTCGTTTATAAATAAAAATTACTTCCTTAAAGCTGCATTTTAAACAACTAACGTCAACTGCAGAATATTGTTCCACCCTGAAAATTTAAATCAAACAATTCTCCGGTCATTATCCACCCTTGTTTAAACAAGCTTATTTTGCCATCAAATACTAAATAGGATTTTGCATACAATAGCGTGGATTTACAAATCCATCAATCTGAACATTCATGGCCTTTCTATAGGTGATTCGACGATGTACTACCTACAAAATACCTTACACCACTTCTCTTTAACTTCACTTCTTGTTGTCTGTCTGCTACAAATCTTATAATCTCTATTTAACACACTTTTACCTCTCCAATCGATCTGAAACTTGGCACACTTATGTAAAGTTGGAGACAATGCATGTATCAATTGACAGAATAAATAATTTTTGAAAATTAAAAAAAAAATTTTTTAGTATTAAAAAATTTGAAAAAAATAATTTTGTCTGCTACGTACATATCTTATAATCGCTATTTAACACACTACCACCTGTCCAATCGATCTGAAATTTCGCACACTTGATTCAATTGACACACATGATTCACATGATTCAATTGACAGAATAAATAATTTTGAAAATTGTATTTGTTTTTTAAATTTTAAAAATAAAATTTATAAATTACTTTTTTTAATATTTGATAATAAAATTAGAAATTCTTTGTACATGTGTAACATCGCAGAAACTGAATTCTTCAGAAGTGTTGTCTTTAAAAAGTAATTTTTAAACACAAATTATTTTCTACAATAATTTTTAAAATAATAAAAAATCAACTGTAAGCTCCTTCATATAGGGTATCATGTATACCTATGTGTGGATTTAAAAACAAAATACATTTATTTTCCTTCACCCGCACAGTCGAAGGGACGCTGCGGCTGGGCAGAGCCACCCTCCTCTGGGTGACGACGGTAGGTCGCGTCTGGCGCAGCATCAGCGAAGCTCTCAGATCAGCAAAAAACTGATCTGGTGTAAGTGTTGCCTGAGGATTGAGATTAAAATATAATAAAATACTGTTACTATAAACTAATATTCGTTAGGAACAGAACGGTGAAGAAAGGTTTTTCTAAAAATTACAAACTATAGGCTCTTAATAATTTTGGACCAATTGTTTAGCCGTCAAATGTCAAGATAGGAATAATGTAAATTTTCGCTCCACTGTTCATGGGATTGAGCCACGTCAATGTTTGTTAAACAGTGTCTCGTCAGTACTTGTTGAACAGTGTCTCGTCAATGTTTGTTAAACAGTGTCTCATCAGTACTTGTTGAACAGTGTCTCGTCACTGTTTGTTAAACAGTGTCTCATCAGTACTTGTTGAACAG